ACTTTAAAACCTGATGTTTGATGCTGTTGTTTCATTGCTACATTTACCTTTCTCTGAAACATCTTGAAAGATTTTGTTTATATTACATATGTTGGTGCAAATGTATACAAACAGGAGAATTCAATCTCGATGCAAGAGTCAAAAAGTGAAAGTTAATTTTGAAAAAAAATTCTTACACAATTGGACAGATGAAGAAATATCAAAAACTGTTCAGAGTTGAACTCTGAGCCACATTTTACTTGCATTAGGAAAACAAATACCTATTACATGTTTGTAGCAAAAAAGTTTTCATTTTATTTATTCAGCTTTATTTTCTTCATGGTTGACGAGAATGCAAAATTAAAACATGAATATTTTGATGTCTTGCAACAGACTTGGTACATTTACAAATGCAAATTTTCAAGAAAACGTATTGTTAAATAACTCTTGTTTCGTAGTTCACATTTGGTTTAGATTTGCATTTCTTTGTCTTTCTGCTTTTAGTTTGTTGGTAGTTCTGGGCACTTTCAGTTTTGTATTCTGGCTCCTTTCTCTTCATGATTTTATTCTCAGTCCTGGTTCAGTCTCCTTTTATAATTTGCACTTACATTTCGTTTTCCTGCCCTCCTGTGTTTTCTCTGTCAAGTATGCATATTTGTTCTCGTGTTTAATTACTTTCCGTTTTATTTTGTTAGTCTTTTGTCTCTTATGCTTTGTATTTAGTTTTACATGCCTTCGCGTGTTTTCTCAATTAGTTTCAGCTGTCCTCCCAGGTGTCTCCTGTTTCCCCTCATCACCTTGTATTTATTCTCTCAGTTTGTCTCAGTTCTTTGTCACCTCCTCCCTCATTCCCCATGGTTTTGTGTATTTAAGCGCTGTGTTCCTCTGGTTTTTGGATGCCTTGTTTCTACTCAGAGTTTGTTCTGTATTTTGTTCAATTTCAGCATTAAAGCTGTCTCTCGTGTCCTGCATTCACGTCCACCTTTTGCCTGCTAGATAGCAGCAGGCCTACATAACGTTATTAACAATTCGGAATCATTATAAACCATTAGAAATGAAAATGCAAAAACAATGTTCAACTTATAGGAAAAGAATGCTAACGGTGACATCTTAAATATGGTATGAGTCCTGTCTCGTCAGCTACTTGCGCTGATTGTTATACATGTCTTTTCTGTTATTTGTAAATGTTGATTTAAATAGAAAACATAAGACTAAATAGCTTAATTATTACCCAATTGCTATGAAATGTGATTTGGTACAACATTTTGTTGCAGGTCAGACACTATAACACTTGGATTATTACCAATCATAGGGGCTTTAATTGGGTAACATATAAATGGCTTCTATAGGCCAAAGACATTAAATTGGTGGGGTTAGGTTAACTGGTGATTCTAAATTGCCCATAGGTGTGAATGTGAGTGCAAATGGTTGTCTGTCTCTAAAACAGATTGGCGACCTGTCCAGGGTGTACCCCGTCTCTTGCCCTAAGACAGTTGAGATGGGCTCCAGCCCCCATGCGACCCTGAATTTGATAAGCGGAAAAGGCTGGATGGATGGATAAATTAAGATGGAAATGACTGAAAAAACAGCCACACCCATCGTTTGCAGCAACCACTTGCAGAGTTTTATGTTGATGATCGTTCATTGGACAAAACATGCGAATTTTTATATGTATCACATGTACACGAACATTCAAACATTAGGTTGGATTTACGTGCATAAAAATGACAGTACATTCCTTCGATCATGCAGTTTGTGGATACAAATACACAGAATAACTGCAATGTATTTGAAGTAAATATTTTAATCGATTGCAATATAGATATTACAGATCTGTGTACCCTAGGCAGTATATGGGCTAGATTTCATCAAGTTTGAACATGTTGTCTAGGGTTAGGAGTTTGGGGAAAACATGCAGACATACTTATGCTTTTAATGTGTAGGGAAGGATTAGCTGCTTTGTATTTAGAACACATTAGTTACTAAGTAATGAATGTAATGAAATAAGACTATAGGAATTCCTAGTTATTCCATACATTGACAATCTAATCAGGACCGCAACTGTGCTGCTCCTTGGATACAAAGATTTATGTTGTTCTGGCAACCCAATGGCTTTGCAGCTCAGAGGATCAAAACTGAAAGCAAACTTTATCTTCACAGACACTGCATCACACGTGTGTGTCATAACAATGTGTTTTTAAGAAAAAAAGAAGGAAAAAAAGACTTGTTGAACTTATTTTTGTAATGATTTTCCTTCATATCTTTCACTCAGGAGGTGTTGAGCCCATAGCAGAGCTGGCTGGTGATGGGGAAGAGATTGAAGTTCCACAGGAGGCGACCAAGTTCATTAAGAAGAAACAGCCATCTAAGAAAACCAAGAAAGGTAGGATCACAAACTCTATTTCCTTCTTTTGTCTCTTTATTTGGAGCTGGATATTCTCCAGCTCTTAGGCTCATCCGTCGCTCTGCTTCTTCTTGTCACACTTCCAAGCAGCCCATATCACCCCAGCAGTACATCCGCTGCATTGCTCCCAGTTTTTTACTGAATCCTAACCGGAGGCCTGACAGTGATATCTGTTCTCTGTCTGTCACACTGTTGTAATCCACCTCTGTTTTCCTCACAGCATCATGCGCTTTCTCATCTGTTATTTGTATGTAACGCTTTGACTGCTGTTGGCTCGTGGTCTGGAGAATCTGCATGGTTTTGATTCTGATCTGTGCCAAAAGATCAAATCAAACAGCAAATTTGGTTCTTCGGCTACAACACAAATAACTGTGCTTCCTTAGGTTTGTTGATTGTTTCTGTTTAAACCTGTCTCGCGCAGTTTTGTTGGTGTGACTTACAGTATGGGCAAAGTTTTAGATTAATGCTAACAGCTAAATCCTGGCTGGCCTTCTTCCATTGCTGAATTGCTTACAGCAGGCAGTGGATTTATATTTTTTTGAATCAGACAGGTTTAAACTGAAAATGTACTAGAGAACAGCTCCACCAGACTGGCAGGTAAGGTTTTGATCCTGGTTATAAAACAAAAGTCTGGAGTGTCTCTTTCAATCAGAATGATTGAAACCCCCCCCCCCCCACATTATGACAGGAGATGTTAGATCATGTCCATCTGGTTTACAGTCACCAGGACTTCACTCTCATTTTGTGCTGGGTGTTGGTTGTATTAAGTTCTCACTTTCTTTCCATCCTTCTGGCTCTGCTCCGAGTCTGTTCTTCTATCTATGAGCCTGCACAGGAAATATCTGATTAGAAGAGAAGATATGTGGTCTTGAGTAGAGCTGTGTATTGTGACTATATTTATTGTTCTAATCAAGTGAGTTCTCCTTTCATTCTCTTCCTGCGATTCATCATCCTTTTATTTCTTTTCATTCAAGTTTTTTTCTTCTTTCCTTTCCTCTCTGCTTTTTTTCCCTCTCTCAGTTACTTACCAAATTAGTTTAATCTGCGATGATATAACACATCATTTGAACCCACACAGAAAGACACTGGCCTTAACACAAAAACAATAAATACATATTGTTTCCGAGCTCCTGCCTTTGTCACACATACATATACACACACACATGGACCCACATACGCAGCCTCCTGCCAGAAAGGGGCTTCTGGTTTGCATTGAGTACAAATCCGAGTTTTATGACAGTTTGTCTTTTCTAAACCAGGGTGGATAGATTCTCTTTGATGAGCTCTACTTTCGTTAGCGGTTGGGGTGGACGTGTGTGTAACCGTGCACGTACGTGTGCACGCGTGCGGTTAATCCACTCAGGCGTCACCGCTAATGAGAAGGGGAGGTGTGGGAGACACCGAGAAGGCGACACAGGGATCATTAGATACCCACACATATACATACAGTACAGCTATACACACTCACGCACGCTGACACACACACGCACACGCACAGCCAGCATGTTTGTCAGAAGTCTGTGCTCTCTGAGCTTAGATATATGGCTTTCAGGCACACAAGGGGGTAGATGTTGAGGGTATGATATGCCTTTGTTCTTAAATGTGTTTCGGTACTTTTTAAGTCTTGAAAATTCAAGTCTACCATAAAGGAATTACAATCAAGAAATATATAAATATTACAAATAAACATGTATTTTTGTTTAGAGACTTTAAGAATTTCACCTTACTAATTGCAAAAATTACAACGACAAAAAAAAAAATCCAACAGTTGCATTAATTTTGAAATGATATGACTTAAAGAAAAAAAACACTTTGGTAAACTGCAGCCTAGGAATGACTAAATGACTTAAGCAGATCATTTATATTTCCTCTAAATATTTCTTTCCCATCATGAATGCACTCTTTCCTCAACGAAGGTTTCTTTAATTACTTTATTTATGTAACCCCTCAAACCTCACCAAAATATGCATGTGACATAAAATCTCATTGTATTTTAAAGAAATACTTGGGATCTGCTTTTTTCATTAATTGTGGTTACATGTTTAAACCAAACCAGCTTTGCTGTCTTTGAAATGTGCCAGCTAAAAGCATATAGGCACTAAATTAGACTAGAAAATGTCTGTGTTCTCTCCTGTCCTCAACCTGGAGCAACAAAGGTTTTTTTTCTTGCTTTTGTGAGCCTGTCTGATAAAAGTGCTCACTATTTCACAAATGTGATATCTGTAAGTATCAGTATATTGAATTACTATATTGCATTTCAATGAGCCAGTGGGAAACTGTGAGTAAATGAATCAGGAAATACTGATGTGAGATTTTATGACTGTAAGCAACAACCCACAGTTACCAGCTGTGTGTGGACTGGAGCCCAGCAGGATCAGAGGTCACTTGCAGTGGCGATGCACCCTGCTGCCGCCAACCTGCTGCTCCGGAACAACTGCTCATTTTCTGAAAGCAGTATAGCACTTGTAATATTGCATTTATTAGCTGCACTGAGCTCATATTGTCTGTCTGATGAGCCAGAGGTTTTATATCAAAACAGAGACTTAACAGTGCTTCCCTTCTGTGGCTTTCTCTCTTTCTCCCTCTCCCTCTCTCTCTCTCTCTCACACACACACACAGACACACACACGTCACTTTTGCCAGACATGATTGAAAAAAGCAAAATGAAAATGATCCCCAATTAGTAATGTTTGTCATGGAAACCTCCACAGCAAGTCTGTGGTTTGCGCTTAAATTGAGAAGAGGAAGGAGGGACGAAGGGAATGAGGGAAATGATTTAGGGAAGAGAGGAAGGGGAAAGGAGGGAGTGGGGGGGTTCCATAATGTCCAGACTTGTCCTGTAGCTGCCACTCCTCCTCCTGATCAGACAGAAAGACAGAGGGAGAAAATAAGAAACAGCAGTGGCTTGTAAAGCCCTTTCACATAATAATGTGATTGTTTATTAAACTTTGGAGTGAAAGTCTCTGCAGTCTGTTGGTGTTGCTCAAGGACATTTCAGCATAGAGGATGTTTCCATGTTTAAAGGCTTAACTCGGGAAAACACTGCCTGCAATTCACTATAACAATTCACTGTGCCACCACAAAAACTAATTTTGTTAGCATCATGCTTAAGTCGTTACAAGATTATTTTTTTATGCTTCATGCACAAGCCTACATGAGGTTTTGAGTATTTATTCTTCACATCCTTGTTTTGTGTTGAGTCAGTGACCTTTGTTTCTGTCAGCTCGTATAAATAAGATGATGCTGAAAACAAACACATGGCACAAATAAACATAAGGTTTCTTTCTCTTTTTTTTTTTTTACCCAAATATGAACTTTACCAATGACCATTAATCTTTCAGTACTGCCTTGTGCAAAAGCAGATAATTCAGTTTATTTGTCATAGCCACTAGTGCTTAGAAAATAACCTGAAGCTGAGCGTCCGTAAAACAAAAGAACTCATAATAGACTTCAGGAGGCTCAGACAGGTCCACTCCCTTCTCATTATAAATGGAGAATGGGTAGAATCTGTCAACCTTCGTTTCTGGGCAGATCTTACCTGGACCCACAACAGCAATGCTCTGGTAAAGAAGGCCCAGCAGCAGTTGCACTTCGTGGATTCCTGGTTGTTTGATACACATGAGCCATAACTGAAACACGAAGGCGGCGCAGAGGGTAATTAACACCGCCAAAAAAGGTCATTCACTGCCCTCTGCCACCCCTGGAGACTATCGCCAGATCCTCCCGTCTCAGGAAAACCAGGGCCATCGCAGGTGACCCCCCTGCACCCCCGCCCACAATCTGTTTGACCCGGTCGGTGCCTCAGGCTAGTCAAGTTCCACACCTCCACCTGTCAAACAGCTTCTTTCCCTGGGCCTTTCTGACCGTCAATAACCACTATCACCCCACACCCCACCCATGCCCACCAACCTCACCAATCTGAGCTATGGTCTGAGTTACCCTCATCACTCAGGTCACTCACACATACTCTAGTCAGACCAAGTCTTTTCTTTGCACTACCTATTTATTTCTGCTGTCTACTATCTATATTTTATTCTGACACAGTTGGTGTGGAGCACCAACTATTCAAGAACACAATATTGTATTGTATTCTCTTCTATTCTATTCTAAATTTTACATCACTTGGTGGCTGACCTGGAGTAAATACTGTATCTGTGGTATCAGACACAATCTGCTTATTACATATCATGCCAGTATATTGGTGATCTTCTGTCAGTGGTTTATGTCTGGCCCAACACGTACAGCAGTATTTTTGTCTTATGGTGGCAAAATGCCAAAACTGCCTTTGGGTAGAAAGGCTAGCTCGTAAATCCCATAAAACTAAAAAGCAGGGTGGTAGAGAACAACTCAGCTTAAAGCCCACATGATGCAGACAAAGACACACACAACTACCTCCGTCTTCCGCCTACCTGTCTATGACTTAAAAGTAATTAGGCACTGTGCCAAAGCCCACACTACACACAGGCCTTTCTGTTAGAGTGCATGGCAGCCGGAAAGCACATTTGGTTGACTTGAAAGGCATCAAAAGGCATCTGAGAGCAGGACAGAGGAGGAGAGAGAGGGTGAGAGAACAGTGGAATAAACTCTCTTTCCTTTCCTTGAAAAGGTGGGATGAAAGAGAGATGAAAGAGAGAGTGTCTACCTTCTTCTCTTTCCTGGTGCTGCATCTTTTTTTGTTGTTGCTCTGCTGCTCCACCCCTAAAGCCCACCTGGAATCACAGACATGATCCAGAGCAAGGACACACACACACACACACACACACACACACACACACACACACACACACATGCACATATGCACATATGCACAAATGACAACATGTAGGCACATACAACCAACTAGGAAGCTATATACAGATTGTGTGAACACACACATGCATTTTTACATATCTTTCTTTATTAGAAGAGGAGATTGGACTTGAACTCAGCCCTAACTGTGAGTTCGGTCTCTTACCTCATTTCTCTCCTCGAGTCAGTAG